CCCCCCCCCGATAAAGAATAATTGGTTTTGGCCAGCAATAAATGTGGCTTAGCAACTATGTTTAGGACAGGATTTTTAAAGGACTGTAACCACCAGTATTTCCCATTGAAGCACATAAGTAAATGTCCTGATTTTCAGAAGTACTCGGCAGTCGGGAGCTCCTTCGGGAACCGGGCCTCCTGCAGTGTACCGTGGTATTCCTCGCAGGGAAACCGAGCGTCGAACACTTCTTTGAAAATTTGTCTGCTGCTTTTAAGGGTCTAACTACAACTTGTGCAGTTCTGAAAATTTGGCCCCAGTGGTACTAATCACTTCAGAAAATCTGGCCCTTAGTCAGACAGAGCTAGCTTCAAAGGGTGAAAACTCCACTGGGCTTAGCTTCAGCTGAAAAATTTAATCATGGAGATGGCTTTCCCACACTCTTTCATTTGTTTCTGGGTAAATTCGATATGGGATATAAATGAGGGTTTGTGCCTGTTGCAAAGGAGAAAATGTGGTAGGTGATCCCAAATTTTCAGACCCTGAGGTAGATGGGGCTGAAGTTTTCATTTAAATCTAGGTTCTGTGTCTCTAGATGCTTGAGTTGATTCAATTTCATGTTATATTAATTGACTGTAAGGCTCTAAAGAATGCTAAGTACATTTGATGACTTTCTCTAATAATAAGCCAGTTAATTTAAGTTAGGTTAATAACTACTGTGATTTTAACATCTTGCGAATTAAGAGTTTCATTTTGTTTTGTCTTGTAAAATAATAAGATTTGCCTTAAAGTTTTAATTCAGTTCTGTATTCTCGTGAAAAGGTGACCCTTTCATTGCTATTCTGCATCAGCAAATTAAGGTTAGAGGTTTGTTTTGATCTTAGCGTTATCCATGTCCTTCCATTACTCTGCATGCTTGGGGAACATCTCTGCTGCTCAGGGGGGTACATGCTGTATCTGGCTCTAACAGAAGTTTTGCTCCCAAATGCTGGATGACTGTCTGGAGATTTAGGTCACCAAACCTACTAGAGAATACAGGAATAATCTTGTTCCCTTTCTTGTTCTGGCAAAAATTATTTTACCTTGTGTATCCTACTTTATGCTGAAGCAGAAGATTTCATTTTTCTGTGGTTAGCATTGCAAATGATGCATTAATGTTTTTTTCCTTTAAGAAGCAGAGGATGAGGTGAACTTACCAAGAAGCCTAAAGCAGTTATGTAGAGCCTCAGCTTCTCTTGGTCATAACCTCACAAAACCTTGCTCTAGCTGTGCCTACCCAGGACCTGCAAGCATGAAACAACCTGCACGGTAGGCGCTTATATGAGCAAAGAGTGAAAGGGCCTTTCACAAGTTTTATCTCTAAGTTTTGTTCTTGCAAGCTATGATAAGACACCATGAGAAAAGATAGGAGAAAAAAAACTGTTGCTCCTACTTTATGGGGTCCGATTGAATCACTTGCTTTTCGATTCTTTAAATTCCTGCGTAGCAGAGATGTGTGGCTTTGTGGGCTGTCGAGCAGGCAGAGTGCCAGCAAGAAAGAAATTGGTGAAGACTTTCGATTCTACAGCATTTGGATGCAGAGCAGCACTGAAATCCGAAATACTTACTGTTATCTGTTGAGTCAAACACCAACCAGGAGAGTTTCCTGCAGCGTAAGATTTTCCTGTGGGATTTAAAAGCCCTCCCAGACTTCAATTAATAGATCTCCTTACCCTGCAGTGGCATCTCATGTGTGCTCAGAAAAATGGTGATCGGTTCTCAGCAGCTTTTCCATGTGAGGACGATGCTGGAATTTGGGTTTTTGTGGGAGCTCTGGGCTTGAGCAGAGGCAGAAGAAGAGGAGGGAAGGTTCAGGTGCTCTGTCAGTGCAGGGACGTGGTGCAGACCATGCACTGTTGAACCACAGCATTTCCCTGCTCCTCTGAGAAAGAAGGTGTTGTGTACTTAGGGGGTTTTTATTGCTTGGTTTGGGTTTCATTAGTTCTGGTTGATTTTTTTGAAGGAGGTACTGGCTTACGTTTGTTTTACTTGTTGAAGTTTGTTGCAAAAGACTTTGTGTTCTAAGAGAGTTTATATCTGAGTCCGAATCTTTCTGAGATTTTAGCA